TCCAAAATCAAAGCGATAGAGAACTGGTCAGCACCGAAGACACCCACAGAAATTCGCCAATTCTTGGGTCTTGCTGGCTATTATCGCAGGTTTATTTAGAATTTCTCCAGAATTGCCAAACCTTTAACCACTCTGACTCAGAAAGGCGTACCCTTTTGTTGGAGTGAAAAGCAAGACACTGCGTTCCAGACGTTGAAGCAGGCCCTATGCAGCACACCTATCTTGTCTCTGCCCGAAGGGACGGAGGATTTCGTTGTTTACTGCGATGCATCCAATCAGGGTTTGGGCTGTGTACTCATGCAACGGGGAAAAGTTATTGCTTATGCCTCGAGACAGCTGAAAGTACACGAAGTCAACTACACAACGCACGACATGGAGTTGGGAGCAGTGGTCTTCGCATTGAAGATATGGAGACATTATCTCTACGGAACCAAGTGCACTATCTTCACTGACCATAAAAGCCTACAACACATTTTTGATCAGAAGGAGCTAAACATGCGACAACGGCGTTGGGTCGAGCTACTCTGCGATTACGAGTGTGAAATCCGCTACCATCCCGGCAAGGCCAATGTGGTGGCAGATGCCCTCAGCCGAAAAGAATACTCAGGTCGCAGAGTGAAGGCACTGATTATGACTATCCATTCCCACTTATCCGCGCAAATCAAGGAGGCTCAGCTGGAAGCCTTAAAACCAGAGAACATGCCGGGTGAAGCCTTAAGAGGAATGGAAAAGAACCTGGAGATCAAGGGAGACGAAGTCTTTTATGTCATGGACCGGATCTGGACCCCAAAGTTCGGTGGGTAGAGAGAGGTTGTAATGAACGAAGCTCACAAGACTAAATACTCCGTTCACCCAGGTTCGGACAAGATATACCTCGATCTCAAGAAACTGTATTGGTGGCCGAACATGAAAGCAGAGATCGCTACCTTCGTGGGCAAATGCCTGACTTGCGCCAAGGTGAAGGTCGAATATTAGAAACCCCCAGGTTTACTCCACCAGCCGGAGATACCTGAATGGAAGTGGGAGAGAATTACTATGGATTTTATCACCAAATTACCCAAGTCTCCGAGTGGGCACGACGCCATCTGGGTAATTGTCGACCGTCTGACTAAATCCGCCCACTTCCTACCAATCAAGGAAAGCTTCAAAATGGAGAGGCTCACGCGAATCTACATCCAAGAGATCGTTCGACTACATGGTGTGCCTGTGTCCATTATCTCCGATCGAGATAGCAGGTTCACTTCGAGGTTCTGGCAGTCACTTCAGAAAGCTCTTGGAACTAAGCTGGATATGAGCACGGCTTACCATCCTCAGACTGATGGACAGAGTGAGAGAACAATTCAGACATTGGAAGATATGTTGAGATCCTGCGTCATCGATTTCGGCGGGTCATGGGACACTCATCTTCCTTTGGTTGAATTTTCCTACAACAACAGCTACCATACCAGCATTAAGGCTGCACCTTTCGAAGCCCTCTACGGTCGCAAGTGCAGATCCCCTCTGTGCTGGGCTGAGGTGGGCGACACGCAGCTAGCTAAGGGACAAGTCCCCGACAGCACTCTCACAGGTCCAGAAATCATCCGTGAAACCACCGAAAAGATCGTGCAAATCCGAGAACGACTTAAGGCCTCACGAGATAGACAGAAGAGCTACGCCGATAAACGACGAAAACCCTTGGAGTTCCAGGTTAGAGACCGTGTCCTACTAAAAGTCTCGCCCTGGAAAGGCATGATACGCTTCAGAAAGCGTGGAAAGCTAAACCCGAGGTACATAGGACCATTTGAGATCCTCGCTAGGATCGGTCACGTAGCCTACAAACTTCGTTTACCGCATGAACTTAGCAAAATTCATCCTGTATTCCACGTTTCGAATCTTAAGAAATGCGTATCTGACGAAACCTTTACGATTCCTCTCGATGAGATTGAAATCAACGAGAACCTGAACTTCGTGGAAGAACCAGTCGAAATCATGGATAGAGAGATCAAACGAACGAAACAAAGTCGCATCCCGATAGTGAAGGTTCGCTGGAATGCCAAGCGGGGACCTGAATTCACTTGGGAACGCGAAGATCAGATGAAACAGAAGTATCCACATCTCTTTTCAAATCCATGATTTGTATTCTATGTTCGAATTTCGGGACGAAATTCCCTCTAACGGGGGGATAATGTGACAACCCGAAACTTTTCCGTTATCCTTACTAAATTTCCGTTAATCAAATTTGGATTCTTATCTAATTCAGTCAAATTTGATAGTTTGGGAAAGACTTTACGTTTAAATAAATCATTTCGAATTTATTTCCGTTCAGGTTAGTATAATTTTTGGTCTAACGGAATATTCTAAACTCAGTTCGATCGACTTCCGTATTTGAAAACGAAGTTTTCTAAGTCGAAACATAGCATTCGGGCCAAACGACTCTTCAAAAGGAGTTTACGGCCGCAAACCCGGTTTACGACCGTTAACTCTATTTACGGCCGTAAACGTTGTTTACGACCGTAAACCCTCCCCCACCTCCTGACCGTAAACTCACCCCTATATAAGGGATGAGTGGCCTCCATTTCTCACTTTACACACTCCAGAAGGCTTTCTCTCTCTACTCTCTCTCTCTCTCTACAAACTTCGATTTTTCTCAAAGATCCTCAAGAATGTAAGTGATTCTTCACCTTGATTATGTTTCTATCTCATTTCTAGTGGCAAATCCATGTTCTTAGCTCATAAATCTCATCATTTTTCTAGATTTTCTCTCTCACCAAGAACACCAAGAACACACACTAGTGTTTTTGGGACTCTAACCGCCCTTTCAAGCTTCTATTTCGTAAGTACTCTACCCTTAGCTTGTTGGATACAAGAATAACTTGTTAACATCTAGAAATCGTGACCAGAAGGGTGTTTACGGTCAAGGCAATCTCCCTTGACCGTAAACTCTATTTAAGGGGCACAAAGTTGCCACAACACCTTCCTAAACATAGAAACTAAGCTTAGAACACTTCCAGAAGACTAGAAAGGGCCTTGAAACACCGAAAATCGCACTTCTCGTCAAAGTGTTTACGGCCGTAAACACTTGGACCGTAAACACCTTTTACGACCGTAAACACTTGGACCGTAAACACCTTTTACGACCGTAAACACCTGGACTGTAAACCCATGGACCGTAAACCCCTTTTACGACCGTAAACTCATGGACCGTAAGCCCATGAACCGTAAACTCCTTTTTCGACCGTAAACTCCCCATTTTCAATCACATGTGATTCTAACACTTAGTTTTAAGTGTTTCCTAGTCCCTAAGGTGGTTTCCTTCCATAAAGAATAGTGTTATGCCCTCACCTAATGTATATATATATGAGCTTCTTCATGCTAAATAGGATCCGTTTGTGTCCAAGGCTTTTATTGACACTCAAAAATTCCTAGCAACTTACACTCGGATCCCACGTCAATCTGTGAGTTCATACCCCTATACTTTTCCGAATTTTTCATGTTTTTCAAGGGGGGGAATACAAGAAAAAAGTACAAGGAAACTTGTGCTCAAATATATTATTTTGTTTAAAATAATTATATGTTCAGTATGCTTTTAACATATAAAACCGTTTTACCACTCGATTAAGAAATCAACTCGTAGAAACAGTTTTCAAATCTAAAGCAAGGAACTTGTGAATCTTATCATAATATGTATTGTCTCATAAAGGATTCATGCAAATCATAAACATGATTTTCGTACTATTACTTGTAAATTCGTTAGGCTAAGTTTGAGACATGTCCTTGGTAACACTCCCCCGGATTCGTGAGTGGAGGACTACTACTTATAACCAGAATCTCTTGGAGGGAGAGCGTGACTATTGTGTATAGATCTGTACGGGACTGACTATCCCGCACCCTCACTGCTAGCTACAGCGGAACCGTTAGGTTCAGGGGTGACAAAGTCTTAAAAAGATACTGGCCCCCGTTCGTGCCTTATCCAGTCAAAGTACGGTTATGGCACTCACAACTTAGGTAACGAGAATTTAGTTTTGCAATATACTCCTCTGGGTGTAACCAGAGCTTCGAAAATACGGCTAATATACTCCTTTGGGTGTAACTAGAGCTTTGAAAATACGGCTAATATACTCCTCTGGGTGTAACCAGAGCTTCGAAAATACGGCTAATATACTCCTTTGGGTGTAACCAGAGCTTCAAAAAGAAAACTGCTGTCCGAGTATGGTAGATACTCGCGTATGGATAATCAACTATCAACCTTTAAGAAAATATGGGATTTTCTAGAATAACTTAATCTTTCATAATTAGTCTGTTTAATGTGTAACTAATGGATAATCAAAACTCTTTCATAAGAAAATATGAGATTTTTCTTGGGAAACAACTTTTCAAAGAATCAAGGAAACATTCCTTTCACCAGAATTAATCGCTTATGAACTCACCAACTTGATGCTGATATTTTAAAACTGCTTGTATTCTCAGGGCATCAATAGGCAGGTACTTTTGCCAACTTTTGGAGAAGATGGAACATCCTGAAGTCACATCTTTTACTTTTGCTATATATAGTGACATGTATAAACTATGTTTTTTGAACAATGTAAATATTCTTATTATAATGTAATGGTTGTGTTTACTATGCTTACTATGATTCAACTGTTGTGATACTACGCATAACGTCCTCCGCCCCGGAACGTTTCCGCCTTCGGTTTCGGGGTGTGACAATTTTAGTGTCCATTAAATTGTTATTTTATAACTTTTAGGGTGAGGGTCGTAATTCGTGTTCAAGATGAAACTGGGTCTGCATCTTTTGTATCGTTTGACCGTCATATTAAAGATATTATTTACCGCGGTAATCAATGGTTGGTGGAAAATATATCAAAGGCAGCGTTAATTTTTTTCTGTATTTTCAATATTGGAAACATTAACTATCAATTTTTTACGTACTTAGAGATTATTTCTTTTAGTTTGTATATACAACAAGTTAATTGTATATTGTCACTTCATTTTATTTTCAATGAGTTGTATTAACTGTTCAAATGTTTTATTACATTTTTCTTTACGATCAAGGACGTCAAAATATCCATGATGAGTTCAATAGCTTTCTAAATAGAAAGTTTGTTTTTAAAGTTCAGATTTCAAAGTTTAATCTCCAGAACAATTATCTTGCCTACACTGTTCATAATATGAGTGATGATGAAGGTGTAGTTGGTGCAGTTTTCAAACGTTCACCTACATATGAACAAGACAATATTCATTCTGATGGTACTCCTATTAACAAGTATCTTAAGGTAAAACTTCACTACATATAAGTTTGAATTTAAACATTGATAATAAAATATTTTGTTAACATTTTGTTATATTAATTTTTTATAGGATAAGAGTGTTTCAGTTGATGGTGACAATATTGATGTTGTTGATCTTGATGTAGTCACACCAACATCTACTTCCGTCAAGAAGCCTATTAAGATTGTTACCACCACCGAATCTTTTGAATGGTCTTCTTCTAAAGATGGTGTTGCCGCTCCTATCTTGAAGATCCCAAAAATGGAAAAGTTGGAATAAGTTTAACTCATTCATCATTATTTTACATTTTACTTTAAAGACTTTTGTTGAGAGTTTGAATTTGTTTGCTTATGGATTTGTTTCACAAGTAATTTTTTTGGTTTTGAATTTTATGTTTGTTTTCATTTGGTTTAAACACGACGGTATTCATGTTGTTTTAGACAATTTCATACTTGTAATGACTTGTTCATATGACTATTAAGTGTTACATCTTTTGTTTCTTATAAAGTGCATACAAAGTGGATTGTAGTTTCTATTTTGTTTTTAACAGATTTTGTTAATAGCAATATACTTTGACTTTAATCTTTAATGTTTTGAATTTGTGCATTTATATTTTTTGATTTACAAGGATCATTTATGTAATTATTATGATTACAATGCTATTAACAGAACTAAGGACCATTCTTTTAAAATTTAAATTTACATGACTATTTCTTTAAATAATAGGACCATTTTAAACCATGATGACATTTGACCATCCAATTTTCAATTGTTCTTCAAAGTGATTTAACCATTATGTCCATATAGCAACGTACTTCTGAATTATAAATACAATTATATTCTATTTTTACAGAAGGTGGAATGACACATAATAGTGGCAATGAAATCATCTTTGACAGTCTTGCTGACATTGATGCGTCGAAGGAAACATGGAATATTTGTGTTCAGGTGGTCATACTTTGGAAGCATACTTACAAAAACAACCCAAACATGGTGAGCTACTTGGATATGATTTTAATGGACCAGCAGGTAAGAATTTTACTAAATTAAAATAAACTAATATTTTAATTTATTATTTTACTTTTGATTTATTACCATATCACATTTGACACCTCCTCACAATTACAGGTGCACTCATTAAAAGTAATAAGATATGAGTTTTGTTTAGACTGTTATAATGATTATTTATAATTAATATATACATTTATTTTAATATCCGATACATGTTATGTATGTTAGGAAATTTAATATAATTATGCCATATAGAACACAATATAATCTTAAGATCCATTTATAGGTTCAAATATGTGAAATACATATGTTGATAACATAAATGAGCAAAAATAACAACGTACTTCTAAAGTATGTTGCTAAAAATGACAAAAATGGTTCCTGTTACCATTTTTTGTTAGTAATTTTTTTATAGTTTCTAGAACTTAATAAAATTATATATGTCGAGACATAACCCTAAAATAACAACCGAATGTACATAGCTTTTGTTCATAATGCTAAAATAACAAAGTATACTTTGAAATTAAAAAAAAATTAATATTTAAATAATCCATGATATTTTAATGAAGGATCCAATCGAAATCATATATAATATTTCATCCAATGAGACATGTATTATTAAATCACAAGTACTATTAATATAACACATTAACATATTTTAAATAGGAATATTAAAATACGCGTATACATAATTTCTTTTGGCAATTAATATATATTTTCACTATTTACTTTCTATAAATTAAGAATATAATGAGTGGTTTAGAACTTTAAAAGATCGTCCATGATCATGTTTCCAAGTTATTGAATATTCATTTTTGACAAAATAAATAAATAAAAAAAACGTCTAAATAGAAAGTGAAATGACTAATGAAAGCAATCAATCTCTAACATTTAAACCAATATCAATCGTCGCCTGCAATCTAAATTCGGAGCTTATTGGCTTAAATGCATTAATAAATTGCCACAACTACTAATTCCAGTGTCATCCTATATAGCATTTTCCACTCATTCGATAAACACACACATGCAACCATCTACTTCTAAAACACTCCTACCATGAAAAGCCAAGAATTTAAATCCATGTTCTACATACCGATCATCCACTTCCACAAAGTCATTGAAATCATTCAAGCATTGCAAAGCAAGATCGACAAGGACACAACAATGATGTTTGTAACAACCCGTTATTTTTCAAGTCAATAAAAGTCAAACCCTTTAAATAAAATTTGAATTTTATTTATTCTATTTAAGATCTTAAGGGTTAAATATGATTTAAATTATATAAACGATGTTTTTATGTAAGTATTTGGAATAAAATACACTTAAAAATCAACATTTTTCTCTTTGGAACCGAGAACCCTTAGACCGAAATCCCCTTTTGGGCCGAGAACCCTCGGACCGCAAACCCTCGGACCGAAAACGTCTTTCCGGCCGAAAACTCAACCGTTATATAAATTTTCCCCGAAAAATAAGTCATTTTCTCACTCTTTCACTCGAAAACACTCCCATTTTGCTCTCAAATATCATACAAGAACCTTCCAATCTTCAAGAAAAATCCTTCAAATCTTCATAATTTTCACCAAGAACACCAAGAACAATCTTCAAATCTTCAAGCTGACCGAAAACACTTGGACCGAGAACTCGTTTACGACCGAAAACACCATAAGACCAAGAACCAGGTTCTCGGTTGAGGGTTTTAAGACCGAAATCAAGGATTTCGGTGAAGGCTAGACCGAAAACCCTTCCTAACACTCCAAATAATTCTCGGTAATTATTCCTTACATAAATTAAGTGTTTTCTAACACCTTAATTAATTATTCCTCTAATTTAATACGATTACATGTTTAAATATTATTAGAATACCGTTAGTTCCACGTACGCTAGCCCGATGATCATCTCTACAGTTCCGCTATCCAGACGCGAACACACTAGAGGTGAGTTCATACCCCTACGTTTTCATTATTTTCAATGTTTTTAGGGGGGGGGGGGGGAATACAAGTTAAACACAAGAACTTTTGTGTTATCATTCAAACGATTTCAAACCATTTGCAATTGTTCCAACCCGATTTATCATTAGGTTTACCAAAATATATTTTTATATATTTTTTAACCCTTTTGTAGCATGTCGAGCAAAAGGCTACTTTTCATAAATCTCTTACTACAGCTTTATACACACTATTAAATTGCAAATGTTTCAGTTCCTTACAGGGTATACATTTAAACTATAATTGGTATAGTTTATGAATCACTAAACTACTTTGCTAAGTTCAGTAAACATTACAAGAACATACATTCAAACTATAATAGGTATAGTTTGGGAGACACTACACTATTTTACATACTCAAAGAACACTATACAGAAATAAGAACATACATTTAAACTATAATAGGTATAGTTTATGGAACACTACTCTATTTCACTAATTCAAGGATACACTACTAAATAATTATTTAAGTATAATTATTTTACACTACAAAGTACACTACTACAAGGTTATACATACAGTTTCAAGTACAAAGAACACTACTACACTACATGTAAACTAGTTAATACAGGGTTGTGAGGCACTAATTCGGGGTACCCATCAGAGTACCGTTTCAAGTCCTATAAATTATAACCAGAGTCTCCTAGAGGGAGAGCGTGAATTTGTGTATAGATCTATACGGGACTGACAATCTCACACCTTAGCTACTTGCAACAGCTAGGCCGGCAGGCCTGGGGTGACAAATGTCATAACATTCTGACGCTTGAAGAACGTCGTAGAGGCCACTAGTCATATCAAGCATGGTTATATGAAACTCACAATAGTATTATCTAAAACATTTGTTTACGGGATTAACACTACTTCAATGGTTTTATTTTAACTAACAGAACTATAGTACACTATTTGTCACAACTAGCATTTTTAGCTAGGAAATTCTATTCTCATGTAATCAATCAACTTTTGTAAGGCATGTACTCTAAGAGAATATCACTCAACGCTCATTCAAATACATCTCTTATGTTTAACTAAGGGTTGGAAACCCTAAAAATCCCGGTTCAAGTTCTGTATGGACTAGGCTTTTCTTATTGGGCCTAATGGACCAATAAGCATCCAATTTGACTACTTTGGGTTTAGAACCCTTAAATGGGCTCTAAATGGACCTACGTCTTCAAAATCTAATATTTTAGGTCATGTGGGCCTAAAATGGTTTAGTTTATCCCTAATGGGCCTTCTTGGGCCATAACAACTCTAAACACCCTAAAGAGCTATAAAACTATCTAATGGGCTTTTATTGGGCCGTGAGCACACCTAAAGGCTCAATGGGCCGAAAACCTTCTCTATGGGCCTCATAACCTCGAGCCAAATCAAGAAAAGGCCCAAGCCCCTCCATTCTTTCCCTTTCTCGGCCCAATGGGTTTTAAAAAAAAAGTTTTGCATGGAGTTAAATGGTGCCACCTCAAGTTTACATTGTGGTTCTCCATGCTAATTACCCACTAAACAAAAATATAAGATCACATACATCTAAGCACCCATCTTATCTTCACCTCTCTCTTCTCTCTCTCTTTTCTTCCATTCGGCTGAGAGCTAACACATACACACACACACTTTCAAATTCTCTCCAATACAATTTCAAGAACATCTCTCCCCTTTCATCAAGAATTTTCGAGATTTAGAGCATTCCAAGGAGTTTTTTCATCCAAAAATCACTTCAAGTTACACTCTAGTGGTAAGATCTCACAAACCTAAGTAACATACTTTCTTTTTAAACTCATTCACTCTTCTTACCACCCTAATTTCGTGATCATACTCTTAGAAAACCCCATAAGCTCAAGATCTACTCAAGGAAAGCTTGCTAGAACCGAAACCTCTCTCTTTTCTTCACCAAACCGAGAACAACAAGCAAAAGTGAGTTCATACCCCCTTTTTTTTGGTTTTTACATGTTTTTGGGGGAGAATACAAGTATTTATGTGTAGATCTATGTATTTATGCATGTTATGTGTGATTTTCTTGGTTATTCTTGTGATTATGTGTGAAAACTCTATAGATCTCGAAATCTCTAACCAAAAGTAGCGATTATTTGTAAACTAAAACATTTCTTACAACTTACTATAAAGATAAATGTGTTAAAAATGTGAAGATCCATGAGAAACTAGACAAAATCTTGAAAAAGGACCATTTTTGACAAATAAACAAAAAGTTGAGGTTTTCAAGTTATTTTCGGTTTTAGAGGGACTAAAAGAGTCATTTTATTTCAAAAATGGGTCTTAATGATATTCATGACT